TACAATACACAATATGAAGGATCAGTAATTTGAATTATGACAGAATTGCCCAAAATTACATACTCTTTATAGATAACTTAAATTTATTTTCTAAAACACAGTCTAGGCTTTTTTATATTTCTTCCTAAGAAAAGAAAAATCTCTCAATCACTTCTGAAGTAGAAAGAGCACATTTTTATCAATAAAAATTATGATGTACAAATATGAATTAGAGAGAATAAAAAAATAACAACAACAAAAAAAACAAAGCAGAAAGGGAAATTATAAGGAGGATGGGATCAACACAGGAAGGTGGAAAATACCTTATTGAAAATGAAAGATACCTTATTTTTAGACTAAGAAAAAATATCCAATATCAAAGAAACTTATGCACAATGAAGAGAGAATATTCCCATGCTATTAAACAACACTTGATCTAAGCTAAAAAGAAGGCATATTTTGCTTAAATAATTGACCACCTACCATATACAGTGTACAGCGCTAAAATAAAGGGGATTATAATTTGTTTGTGACAAGACATTCTATTGAAAAAAGCTAAAAATACTGAAGCACCTCAAGATTACTCTTTTCTTTATTAGGATATAAAAAAACAACTTAAACTTTTGAGCACCACATAGAACACAAATAAGACATTAAAAGAAAAAAAGGTCAAGAAAAAAACATTTTAAACATGTCAAAAAGAAAAGTTACTGTTAAGCAGATAGATTTAACAACAATAACCTTATCTCTTGGCTTCTTTTGAAAATCAGTATTGCTACTAGCCATTTTACAAACTTTTTTGAAAGGCGAATATTTTGCAAGTTCAGAGTGGCCAGGTTGAGCAAGATCTTCCAAAATGAACCTTTCACATCTTGAGGGATCAGAAATATTGTCAGAAATTTCACTTGGACTAACACTGGGGGAAAAAAAGAAAAAAATGCATTTATTTCTTAGTTGAAGTATTTACGGTATGCTTCTAAACATTAACTAAGAAAATAAAAATAATCTAGAATGCTGCTGACAGTTAAGTCACAGTTATGAACATAAGGAAGTATTTCCACTAAATTTTAAATCAGCTATAACCTGGTTGAAACAAGCAATCTACACATTTCCAGGGCCTGTAAAAGGATTAAGACTCAAAAACAGTCATACATATCAATAAGATCAGTACAGCCCCCAAACATGTACTCTGTAGTATGAGGCATTACACATTAAAGATGTAACAATTTGTAATTACCCTAAAATTTAGATATTTTTCCTAACTCGATTCTATTAACAAGTATAGAAAATGATTCCTTATTCCAGAGACATACTAGAAATACAACAGACATAGAATAATGAAAGTCCTATAAATGCATCAGTAAGTTAAACACATACTATAGACATTATTTGATTTTAATTACTTGCCTGGATAACTCCTCCCCTAAACTCTGCAAATTCCATTCTGTTATTTTGAGCTCATGCCTTAAGCAAGCAACATTTGCAAGGAGGCTTTCCTCTTCATTGTCTTTATTATAGTAGTCTGATGAACTAGATTCCATTTCCTAAAGAAAACAAAGACTCCTTGACTGAAATACTCTGTGATGTCAAAGTACCCTTAACAAATTCATTTCTAATTTTGTTTCTGTTTCAAAGGTAAAATGTTTCATGGTAAAACAAAATAGAAATAGAGTAACAATGACTCTACAGTGTAACTTAAGGACAATCATTTTATTTTGTTTTTTTTGTTAATTTATTTTAATAATCTTAGTTGATTAGGGTACAAAGGGTCAGGAGCTACAGGGTGAAAGTGGGTAATATCATTGTTATCACACTAATACAATCATTTTTCCCTATATCTGGGGTTAGGGGAGTAGCAAAGGGAAAAGGGAAAAGCCCCACTCAACTTCCCACCCATCCCCCATCCCCAACATGAGGCGCGCTCCAAGGGTCCTGCTCATACAGTTTTGATAGTCCATCAGTTCTGGATTGCTGCCAATCTCACCATCCCAACCGCAATGAAACCTATTCAGAGTCCACTGGCTGACAGTCTCTTGATGGTTGGGGTTCCAAGATCAGCAGTTCAGTTGGAGAGATATCCACAGAAACTTCATCTGAGTTGATCCCAGATCTGATTCTTGTGTGAGTTTGCTAGTACAGACTCCAACACTGTCCGTCACACCAATCAGCTTATGCACATGCTGCTCATTGCAATTGCTGGGTCTGTTCGGTTTCCAGCCCTGTCTTCCTCGTGAACCAATGGGTGTTGTAGTCCAGCTCGATCCTACCCACTTCATACTCGGTCTTCATGCAAACCAGTTGGAGCTGCAGCCTAGTTGGGGCGACTCCCCAAAACCCCTACCAGATCTGCCCCCTACCCTGGTTTCCATGCTTGCCAGTATGTACTGCAGGCTTGTCCAGTCTGTCCCACATCCCATTTAGCTCTCGCACACGTCAATGGACATTGAAGCCTAGTTCAACCCAACCAACCTATTATCCAGCCCATACACCTACTGGCAGGTGCCTTTCTGTCTAGCCACCACTGCCCCTATCCTGGTTTTCGTGCTAAGGACAATCATTTTAAATTTATTACTATTTCAACAGATAACTGTTCACTTTAGCCAGCATTAAGTGATTTGAGACACTCCTTTTCTAAGTATTTATAATTTTCCCCTAAATTGAGGTAAGCTATTTTAATTCCGTGTTAAAGACCATGAAACAAAGATTAAATTCCTCAAGGTCAAAGTATAAATAGTAAAACCACATATTGAATCTAGGTCTTCAGGATTCAAAGACCTTTCAATTATGTTAAACTGTACTCTCTTATTTACTACACATCAATTTCAGTATGTGTATTAACTTTTATAATCACATTACAAGCTCTCAACATTTAATAATTATGTTAGACATTCATATTTTCTTAAAAAGCAACTATCAAATTAAAATTACCTCCTCCCATCAATAATTACAAAACTGAAAAAAATTCCAAAGTCAGTAACAGGGACAAAAATGACATTTGACTTATTCAACTCACAGAAACAGAAAAGAAAGGCTTATGTTTCTTAAACTAATGAATATCTCAGGACTGTGAAACACAAAATCTCACCATTGTAAATGAATAACAGAAAGCTAAGGCATTTGAATTTTAATAATGAAGGTCTTTCCACATAATCTCAAAAATTACTCTTCTTCCAGAATTATGTTTTTAGTTGCATCTCTCCCATTGCTTTTGAAAATTTTATTTACAGGACAGGCATGATCTTCTGTCCCCTGGCTCACCTCCCAAGTGCCCGCCCCACCCAGGGCTGGACCAATCCGGGACTCCTTTGGGACAGCCCACGGGAATGCAGGGATCTTAGTAGTTGGACTACCACCACTTCTGCTGTTAGAAATGCTGGCTAGGAAGCTGCAGGCGGGAAGATGGGTTACAGGGTCCGAAGGGGCGCTGCAGGGCACTGCACCAAAGCGCCTGCCATCTTCAGCCTTAAAACTCGTGCCACCTCCCACATTTCAAAATGTTAGGAGTCCCGTGTATTATAATCTTTGTAAGAAGCTCCATGCAACCAATGAACAAGTGGTATATACCAAACTGCCCTTCCTTTCCCGCACCCAGCCAACACCGCTTACTACATGAATCCAAAAGCAGTCCTAATTTCTCAGGCACAGGAAGATTAAAAAGAAAGATTTTACCTACCAGAAGAAAACTGTCAGGAAATTCAAGGAGATGCTATGTAATCTTAGCCAACTTTCCCCTTACGTGCCCACAAACTTGCTCTTGATTACATAACGGGGCTCTCTCAGACAAAAGTCAATGAATCAGGTCCCCATTCTGTTTTATTTAACATTTCTAACTCCTGTGGGATGGGGGGTGGGGGGGGAGGAAGCATTGGGTAAATTCTAAAATGCTGTTCAGTATTAAATGCCTTATATCAGGTTTTAGATTCAGCATCTTCTAGAGTGTGTTCACATTAGGTTCCGCTCAGGTTTTCTATCGCACCAATGAAAAGACATCAAAATTGGCACTCAGCTGTTGCCATTTTCATAGCAGAGCATTTCCCGTCAGAAAGACTGCTCCTTATTTCAACCGACAAAACCTGGATCCGTGGTCTGGACCTCACCGCACCTACAGGTGCTGATGTCACGGGCATACATGCATACCCATCACACGAAGGGCAAGTCTGCCCCTCTGACAGGATGGCCTGCAGACAACATTACGCATTTTGAAAAGCATACACACACACACACATACATACATACACATACTCCTCTATCTCAATAAAGTTCAAATTTCACTCAAACGGACACCCCCATCTATATGAGAAGCGGAGAAATACTTGACATTCGCCTGAGTTTTCCTCTAGTCAAACAGAACCCTACCGGGGCAACAGGCTCAGCAACGCAGCCTGACGCGAAGCGGGTGTCCTGGTTACGGAAAGCAACCAAGGCACCCCCCCCAAGGCACCCCCAAAGCAGCCCCAAGGCACCCCAAAAGCAGCCCCAAGGCACCCCCAAGGTACCCCCAAAGCAGCCCCAAGGCACCCCCAAAGCAGCCCCAAGGCACCCCCAAGGTAACCCCAAAGCACCCCCAAAGCAGCCCCAAGGCAGGCCGCTTCCCCCACCAGCACGAAGCCGCTCACCACCCGAGACGCAGCCGGGGAAAGACCCACGAAACGACGGCGCACGCCGCGTCCCGGGCCGAGCTCGGACGTCTCGGACCCTCGGCCGGGCCCCAGCCTGGAAGCCTCAGACACAGGACGCGGAGTCGGCGCCAGCCACTCGCTACGAGTTCGAACCGCCGCGGGAACCGTTGAGGCCGCACCTCCTCAGACGCAACCCCGTCCGCCGCGCAGGCTTGGCGTGCAGGGACGCCCCGACGCAGTGCCTGCTGGGGATTGTGGTCGGCGAGCGTTTTCCAGCATGTTCGCCAAGCTCACAAGGGACTACGTTTCCCACCATGACGGCCGCGAAGCCCCCATTGGTGTAAAGATAGCATGGGAACCTGGGGTGTGAGGCGGCCGGAGTCCGTGCCTGGCTTGAGGAGGGAATCGGGACTCGCGACGGGCTGCCGTCCCCGCCCTCAGTCCTCCCCTTTTGAGGACCGGACTTCCCTTCTCGGAAGGAGCGTCTGCCGCCCACAGGGCCGCCACCGGGTTCTTAAGGGACTCCAGGTTTCTCTGCTAACCAAGAAGATCCCCCGCCCCCGGGGCAGGCAAAGCTGAGGCGCAGGGCCGGTATCCTACTCGTCCAGCCCAGAAATCGCCCGGGAGGCATGGGCGACAAGACTTGGCTGCCCTTCCCCGTGTTCCTTCTGGCCGCTCTGCCGCCCGTGCTGCTGCCGGGGGCGGCCGGCTTCACTCCCTCCTTAGACAGCGACTTCACCTTCACCCTTCCTGCCGGCCGGAAGGAGTGTTTCTACCAGCCCATGCCCCTGAAGGCCTCGCTGGAGATCGAGTACCAAGTAAGTGCTCAGGGTGGACCTGCTTTCTTCTTGGAGTTCACCCGGCTTTTAGAAACTTCTGCGGACAGCCCGGGTGTTGAAGAGGCGGGCGAGGGGCCGCCCGGGAAGCGGCCAGCCAGCTCTGCGCAGGCGCGCGAGGCGAGCCAGGCTCCCGCCCTGGGGGACCCCCAAGACCCCACAAGTTGAGCGGGTCTTGGAATTGACGACTCCCGCTTTCTCCCCTTTCCTCCGGTGGGAGAGAGGCCAGAACTGATGATGTCGGTAGCGTTTGTCTCGGTTTCGCAACCGTCCCTGGCTTGCCAACCAGCACGCGCTCCAAGCCTGAGAATTGCCCAAGGCGGCAGGGGCACTCGCCCTCCTTGTTGGGCAAGGCGGTGACACTTGTTCGAGTCACCCCTACCACATGCACTCCGTTGCCTTATTAGATGTCTCCACTTCTTGCACTTCTATTCTCTGATAGTTAGATAGGATCAGATTGTATATTAAAACTTAGTAACCTTTTTTGTGTGGTGTGTGGTAGCGCCTTCACGGTCTCATTGTTTGCTTTTCAGCATGCTCAGCACTCTTTGAGTGGGGAATTGCCTTAATTTCTGTAGTCATCCTGATATGGGATAATTCTTAGAAGGCAACAGTTCCAGATAGCACTGAGGAGAAAATTGTGTTAGTGTGTTTAAGTTTTCAGATTTCTTTTACTTGTTAGTTAGTTTATAATCTAATAATTTTTTCAGGTTCATGTAGATGGATTTTTCCCCCAATTCCAGATTCTCTCACAAAACAAAATAAAAGGCTGTACAGCTTTCTATCCAAAAGAACTTTGATATTAGATTCTATATGAATGAATAAGGCATACAGTAGATTATCATAAGTCACACATTTAGTGAAATAATCTAGAATTCTGCATTTTTTAAAGACTTTTGTTTTTAAAGATTTACATAGTTTTATTGGAAACGCAGATCAAATTTACAGAGAGAGAGGGAAAAATCTTTCATCCACTCGTTCACTCCCCCAGTGTTTGCAACAGCCAGAGCTGAACTAATCCAAAACTAGGACCCAGGAGCTTCTTCCAGGTCTCCCACATGAGTGCAGGGTCCTAAGTCTTTGGGAGATCTGCTGCTGCTTTCCCAGGCCATAAGCAGGGAGCAGGCAGGACGCTAACCTGCACCCATATGGGATGCTGGTGCTTGCAAGGTGAGGATTTAGCCATTGAACCATTGCACTGGGCCCAGGATTAATTTATGTTTAACTGGCAGATTTTCAAAGAGAAGAGATAGAAAGGTCTGCCATCTGTTGATTCACTCTCCAAATGGCCACAATGGCCAAAGCTGAACTGATCCTAAGCCAGCAGTCAGGAGCTTCTCCCATGTGGGTGTGTGGCCCAAAGACTTGTGCCCTGTTCCACTCTCCTCCCAGGCCATCAGCAGGGAGCTGGATCAGAAGTGGAGCAGCTGGGACTCAGACTGGTGCCCATGTTTGATACTGGCATTGCAGGAGGACAGTTAGTTTGCTACACCACTGCAGCAGCCTCACAGGATTTCTTGATTTCCAGTAGAGTATGAAAATTGAATGCTCATTGGACAAATACTATGTGGATACTTCAAAAACCCATGGAAAGAAAAGATTTAGTTTGATACAAGAAAGGTTTTTTTTCCATAATGCACATTTTCATAAATGGGAACAGTAAGTTGACACAGTTCTAAAAATGCATAGTATTATAGGTGAACATGGTGTATAGCCAGTACAAGTACTAAGTTCATTGATTTTACAAAGAGACATTGTAGATGTAGCACCATTGACTTATATAGATTTATTTACTTGAAAGGCAGAGTTACAGAGGGTTCATTCCCCAACAGTCATGTCTGGGCCAGGTTGTTCCCAGGAATCAGGAGCCTCCATCCTGGTGTCTTTCTTGGGTGACAGGGACCCAAACCCTTGCGGTGTCTTCCAGTGCTTTCACAGCTCACTATTGGAACTGGATGAGAAGAGAGAAGTGTGGCTTATCCTGAGGCTTGGTCCTCCACTGGGCAGTCTCCTGAGGTTATTGTGTAATCAGTCCTCAAGCCTGTGAAGTTCATGATGGGAATTGGAGGGATGTTAAAGAGGGCAGGAGGCTGGAACGTGGATCATGAGTCAGAACCTTGTACTCCATGCTAAGTGGCTCACTCTGTATTTTGTCCCAGGCCATTTACTACTTTAGCATGTTTTTGTTTGCTTGTTGGAAAGCCAGATATACAGAGAGGAGAGACAGAGAGAAAGGTCTTCTACCCGATGCGGCTGGTGCTATGCTGTTCCGAAGCCAGGATCCAGGAGCTTCTTCCGGGTCTCCCTCGTGGATGGCAGGGTCCCAAAGCTTTGGCCTGTTCTTGACTGCTTTCCCAGGCCACAGGCAGGGAGCTGGATGGGAAGTGGAGCTGCTGGGATTAGAACAGCACCCATATGGGATCCCGGGCGTTCAAGCCGAGGACTTTAGCTGCTAGGCCACGCCGCCGGGCCCTACTTTAGCATGTTGCTGGGTGTAATATGGAAGCTGGAATTAAGGGGAACTCACCTGGAGGTAAGGAAAATAAGGTGGGAGTTAGTACAATAGTCTGGATAAGAAAAGAGTTTGTATTAACTTAAAATAGTTCAATATTGACCCAGATATTTGAAAGGAAACCTACTATAATTACTGACTTCTTTTGGCTAAGAGCTCTTAACTTTGACCTGGGATCAAATCCGGCTATACTATTTACAATTGTGTGACCTTGAACAAGTTACTTCTCACTTGTGAAACAGATAATAGCAAATGCCTCATAGAATTTGTTTTTTTTAAAAATGAGTTAATAGGGGTAAGTGCTGTTGGACTATGGTTGACATATTGTAAATATTCAATTAATACTAATTTTACATATATACCTAAAGTTAAGTAATTTACTTTTTTTTTAAGATTTATTAATTTTAATTGAAAAGATTTACAGAGAAAAAGAGAGACAAAAAGAATGATCTTCCACATGCTGGCTTACTCCCCAAGTTGGTCACAATGGCCAGAGAGAGCTGATCTAAAGCCAGGAGCAAGGAGATTCTGTGTCTGCCACATGAGTCACAGGATCCCAAGGCTTTCTGCCGTCCTCCACTACTTTTCCAGGCCTGAAGCAGAGAACTGGAAGGGACACGAAGCAGCAGCCATGTGGGATTAGTCAATTGAGCTATTTTGCTAGGCCCAGCTTAGTTTCTCTTGATGCTTTGTATTTTGGTCACCCTTAAAAGGATTGTTTCTTCAAAGCTAAGCGGTTGTTCTGATTAAGAAATAATTGCTGGGGCCTGGCGCAGTGGCACAGTGGTTGAGGTCCTTGCCTTGCACGCCCGGGATCCCATATGGGCGCCAGTTCTATCCCGGCAGCCCCGCTTCCCATCCAGCTCCCTGCTTGTGGCCTGGGAAAGCAGTCGAGGACGGCCCAAAGCTTTGGGACCCTGCACCCGCATGGGAGACCCGGAAGAGGCTTCTGGCTTAGGATCGGCATAACATCAGCTGTTGCACTCACTTGGGGAGTGAATCATCGGACGGAAGATCTTCCTCTCTGTCTCTCCTCTCTGTATATCCGCCTTTCCAATAAAAATAAATCTTTAAAAAAAATTGATTTATTTTAAAGTCAGAGATTGAGATTTCTCCATTGCTGGTTCAGGCTCCTTATGGCCCCAGCATCCAGGTCTAGGCCTGGCTGCAGCCAGGAGCCAGATTGTCTTGTCTCTCAATGGAGTGCAGGAATCCAAATAATGGACCCCATTCTAATGCATTAGCAATGAGAGGGACCAAAAGCAGCAGAGCCAGGACTCAAAGCTGCATGCTGATGAGGGATGCTATTTTCACAGTGGTGGCTTACCTCGCTGATAATTCACTCTGCTGCGCTCTGGCACCTAGGTTCATAAGGCCTTGAATCTTTTAGAGATTACGGTATCTTAGCTTAGTCAGATTTATGGCCAAAAAAATTTACCAGCAAGATAATTGTGCTTGTTTGGTACACTTTGTGTATAGGTATAGCATGATGACAGTCTTAAAGCTGCTTGAAGAATTCTTGAAATTGTTCTCCTCAATGCATTAAAACTAGAATTTAAAATCTTCTCTTGTTGTAACTGTTAAAGCATCTTCTCAGTTTGTTGTGTATTGGGGTTTATCTCTTTTTTTTCTCCTGCTACTTCTGCAGTTTCCAGTTTGTCTTGGAATTTTAAAGTTTGTTCTTCCTGAATCTTGTAAGGCTTCTTTAAATATTTTAGTCAAATATTTTCAACAAGTCAGGAGAATTCTCAGCTATTTTTTTTAAAGATTTTTTTTATTTCATTGGAAAAACAGATCTACAGAGAATCTTCCATCCACTGGTTCACTCTCCAACGTCTGCACAGCCAGAGTGGAGCCTATCCAAAGCCAGGAGCCAGGAACTTCTGGGTTTCCCGCGTGTGCAGGCTTCCAAGACATTGGGTCATCCCCTAATACTTTCCCAGGCCATAAGCAGGAAGCTGGATGGGATGTAATGCAGCTGCCCAAATGGGATGCTGAGCTTAGAGGTAGAATTTCGGCCAGTTGAGCCATTGCGCCAGCCCCTGTTATGTTTTTGATTATTACCTTTTCCCATCTGATGAATACTTCTCTTCTACGATATTTATTAGCTGTGTTTTCATTCTAAATCTGTCATCCTTAATCTTTCAGGATGTCTGCCTTTGTCCAGCTATTCCGCATTATGTATAGTTTCTTCAGTTCTGTTTTCTTGGTTGATTTTCTTTTCAGAAAAGATTTATTGTTTTTGATGGACAAATAGTAATTATATGCATTCATGGGGTACAATGTGATTTTAAAAGATTTAATTTTATTGGAATGTCAGAGTTATAAAAAGAGAGGGGCAGAGACATGAGACCATCCAGGCCTGCTGATGTCTTCAGGTGGGCAGCACCAGCATTGCCCACCCATTTCCTAACTGGTTAAGAGACCACCAATGGGGAACAACTTACCTGTAGGAAAGAGACATCTTTGGTGTCTCCCTTGCCTTTCGAGAGGCACCTCACCTCCCGGCTTTCTCTCTGAAGGTGCTTCCCCTTCCCTCTTCCTTCCCTGCTCACCTGGTCCCTTCAGAAATAAACTTTTCTGTCTGCAACAGATTTCCAGCTTTTATATTAAGCTGAGGAAAGAACCCATCGGGCATTTCTGGTAACAAGACAGAGATAAATGATGATCTCCTCAAATAGCCGCAATGAGCAGAACTGGGCTGATGCAAAGCCAGGGGCCCAAATTTCAGAGCCTCTTCCAAGTCTCCCATGTGAGTGCAGGTCCCTAGGACTTGGACCATCCTCTGCTGCTTTCCCAGGCCACACAGGGAGCTTGAAGGGAAATGGAACAGCCAGGACTTGACCCGACATTCATATGGGATGCCAGCGCTGTGGGTGGAAACAGGCTGCTGTGATGCCACACTCGCCCCCACTGTGATGTTTTGATATAGCACATACAATGTGGTATGATTAAATTGACCTTGATCTTAACAACTTTTAGTGGTGGGACATTTGAAATTTATTTACATTTTTAAATCTATAATATATTATTAATTGACTATAGTCATCCTAGTAAAACCAGTTCTTACCCTTTGAAACTTTGTGTCCTTTGATCAATAACTTCCCATCTTCTTTCCTGCTGCCACCCCCTGATAACTTATTCTAGTCTCTGCTTCTAAGAGTCAACTTCATCAGATTCCACAAAGTGAGATCATGAGGTGTTAGTCTCTGTGCTTGGCCTGCTTCACTTAATAATGCCCTCTATATTTCTTGCTTGCATGAGGCTGGTAGTATTCCATTTTGTATCATAGTTACATTTTCTTTATATATTATCTTGACCATTGTGCAGATATCCCTTCCACATACTGATTTCAGCTCCTATTTTTACTTTCCTTTTAAGTTATTCTCCAAGGAGCAGAGAATTTCATAAACTGGGCATTCCTCGTGTGTCTGCAGTGCCTAGGACTGAGCAAGGCCAAAGACAGGAGCTGAGAACTCAATCGTGCATCCCGCCCGAGTGTCAGGAATGTAGTGACTTGAGCCATCGCCTGCTGCTTCCCAGGTTCTGCATTGGAGAAAGTGAAAATTGAGTGAGAACCAGTTACCAAACCAGTGTTCTCTAATATGGTACATGGGGTCTCGTAAAATACACTCCTGAAAGGCTTGGCTTTTTACGATAGTTTTACAGAATACTTGCACACAGAAACCTTCACAGTCCCATATAGTTTCTTTTCTTATTTAAATCTTACATTTTGTGGTGCCTTTGTTCCAACTGCAGTAATTTTGTTAGATCATAGTTACATTAAGGTTCACCCTGTCTTCAGTTGTATGTGTTTTGGCACATGTATCAACTTACGCTTGCATTGTTAAAAATCACACATATTGAAAGTTATCTTGGTTGCTTCCAGTTTTTCCTGAATATGAACAAAGACATAAATATCAATGGCCACTTTTGTTGTGAATGTCAATTTTTAGTGCAATTGAGTAAATTCCTGTGGTTACTGGATTGCATGATGAGACTGTCACTTTTGTAGAAAACTTTATCACCTATTTTAGGTGTGAGCCCTTCAGAAGGTGATTGACAGATATCCTTTCCTCGTTCTCTGATTCATCCTTTCGTTCTCTTTACAGCATCTTTTGTAGAGGACAAGCTTTTATTTCAATGAAACCCATCTTGCCATTTTTTTCTACAGATGATGCTTTTGCAAAATTCATTATCAAACTCAGCGTACCTAGCTTTTCTCTGGTGTGAGCTTCTAGAGGAATTATAGTTTTGCATTTTACATTTGTATTAGTCTTTGTGAAAAGTGTAAGATCTGTGTTTAGGTCGTCTCTGTGTATGTGTGTCTAATAAGCCCAGTACCATTTGTTGAAAATATCTTCATTCTGTTACCTTTGCTGTTTTGTCAAAAAGCGGTTGACAATGGTTTTATGGCCTACTTCTAGGCTCTATATTCTGCTCTGATTTGGAATTTATTTATTATTATTTTTTCCTTTTTTTGCAGTTTTTGGTTTCGTCTATTTTTTCCCCCATTTTGACTATTATAACTTTAGGCAGTGTTAGTCTTCCCACTATTGTTTTCAGATATTAACTGTGCGACTTCCTTGCTCTGTCAGCTTGGAAAAATGACTCCTCTGTGCTTAAGTTTTGGGATTTTGTTGTCTTTTTTTTTTTTTCTCTCTCTCTTTTTCTTTTTTGCTTGTGTGTTTTTTGTTTTTGTTTTTACTAAAATAAGACCTTGTGCAGTTGTCATAAGGAATTAATCCTTTTTTTTTTGAAAGATTTATTTTTTGTGAAACAGTGGATGACAACACAAGCTATAATAGTTAGTTGCTATCCTCATCATAGCTGTCATCTTGTGAGGCTCTTTTGGCATTATAAAGAAATAGATTATGTTGCGCAGTAAATGAACCCACCTGAATGGAAAACACAGTTCATACTGGGGAGAAATAGAAGAATGTGTTGTAGTCAGAATCAGATCATGGAAGCCTTAAATTACAGACTAAGAAGTAGGTAATTTTATTTTTACAGAAGTAGAAATAAACTCAGAAAAGTTATATAAGATGTCCTAAATCACCTGCATTTTAAATAAAAGACACAGCACTTGAACTTTTTCTTAAGATTTATTTTTTGAAAGGCAGATTTTACAAAGATGGAAGGAAAGACAGAGAGAGATGTTCATCTTCCATACACTTATTTAATCCTCAGAGGCTGCAAACGGCCAGAGCTGAGCTGATCCCAAGCTACAAGCCTGGAGCTTCTTTCTAGTCCTGTGGGTACAAGGTCCTAAGGACCTGGGCCATCCTTTGCCACTTTTCCAGACCTCCAGACCAGAGCTGGATCAGAAGTGCAGAAGCCAGAACGTGAACAGGTACCCATGTGAAATGGGAAGCTTAGCCTGCTCTGCCACTGTGTTGGTCTTGCGTTTGAACTTCTGTGTTTCTGTCTACTCTGTAGGACTTCCTAATAAAGGCACTGTTTTTGGAAGTTTTTAGTAATATCCATAAGGTGGCACTTGTCACTGCTCTGGCTAAGATGAGATGTAATCTCCTAAATTTAGGTGGTTGTGAAAAGAATGGATAGGGAAGGGATGGGTTACAAAAGTGAATGGAATTGAACAGAACGGTCTTTCAACTCCTTTCTAGCCTAACATGCTTGAATGTATTGGCTTTCTTACCTACTCTAGATTTAAAGGAAAATATTCTGTCATATTGCCTACTTTATATATATATGTATTTTATTTTTCCAAATTTACAATATGGTTTCCTCTTGTGTGCCCTTCTACAGGTTTTAGATGGAGCAGGATTAGATATTGATTTTCATCTTGCCTCTCCAGAAGGCAAAACCTTAGTTTTTGAACAACGAAAATCAGATGGAGTTCACACGTAAGTAATCTCTTAGTTGACTTTATTGACTAAATTATAGCAATAACCTGTTTGCAGGGTAGGAAAATTTAGCACTTCTAGAGTAAGTATCAGTATTGATGATGCCATATAAGCAGTTCTTGATAACAAGCCTTCTTATATGTTTAAATACCTTCAATTGACCATTTTCTTCTGCTTTTTTTTTTTTACCGCTTTGGTTAAGTATGTATAGATAATTATTCCCCAGGTATTTCATTCTATTAATTTAAGCTTCCCTTTCTGACTAACTCAGGCTTTCCATTTTAAATAAAAGTATGTGTCTTAAATTCTCTTGAACTATATTTTGTATCATTTTTTTCTGGTTTTCTTTCTTTTTAATTTTTTTAAAAAGGCAGAGAGGGGACAAAAAACAGTCTGTCTATCCTCTGGCCTGCTTCCCAAACGCTGGCAATGACCAGGATGGTGCCAGGGCTAGAATCAGGAACTTAATCTAGATATCACATACCTATGGTAGGGACCCCACTACTTGAGCCATTACCTGCTGCCTCATTAAATCTTTGGGAGACAAAAAAAAAATGTTTGTAATAGTTCTGTTGAAATGCCATGCTGGGAATCAAAGCACTTTTTATTTATTACTATTTTTTCTTTTCTTTTTTTTTAAAGATTTATTTATTTATTGGAAAGTCAGATATACAGAGAGGAGGAGAGACAAAGAGGAAGATCTTCTGTCCGATGATTCACTCCCCAAGTGAGCGCCACGGCCAATGCTATGCTGATCCGGAGCCAGGATCCAGGAACTTCTTCTGGGTCTCCCACGCGGGTGCAGGGTCCCAAAGCTTTGGGTCATCCTTGACTGCTTTCCCAGGCCACAAGCAGGGAGCTGGATGGGAAGTGGGGCTGCCGGGATTAGAACTGGTGCCCATATGGGATCCTGGTGCATTCAAGGTGAGGACTTGAGTGGCTAAGCCATGCCACTGGGCCCTATTACTATTTTTTTCATGACCAAGTCCTATAAAGTACATTAAGATCTATTTATTTTTTATTGGAAAAACAGATATACAGAGAGGAAAGACAGAAGAAGATCTTCTGTCTACTGGTTCACTCCTCAAGTGACCGCAATGGCCAGAGCTGAACCAATCCAAAGCTAGGAGCCAGAAGCCTCTTCTGGGTCTTCAACACAGATTCAGGGTCCCAACACTTTGGGCCGTCCTCGACTGCTTTCCCAGGCTACAAGCAGGGAGCTGGATGGGAAGTGGGGCTGCCGGGATTAGAACCATATGGGATCCTGGCGCGTGCAAGGCAAGGACCTTAGCCACTAGGCTACTGTGCCAGGCCCCCATAGTACTGTTTTATGAATGCAGAAACAGAGGCACAGAACAATTAAGCAAGTTACTAAAATTTATGTAGCTACTGCACAGCAGAGCCAGTAATAGTACTTGGCAATTCAACTCCTTTATCTGCTACTTCACTCACCAAATTCCTGCAGTGCCAGGACTAGAGTGAGGTCAGAGCTGGCAGCCAGGAGTGGAGCCAGGAATCAGTTCAAACAGCCCCGTATTCCTGAGTGCTACACAGGTGTCTGAACTGCCGGGCGGAATGCTCAGTCCCACAGCTTACACTTAAACACCAGGCAGCATCTACACATCCACTGCCTCAAAGTTAAGCAAAATGCCTAGCATTAGCGGAGTTTTTTAAAGGTATCTAAAATCTCAGTTGTGATTATTTTTTTCTTTTCTAAAAAAGTTGATGTATTGATGTAAATGGCAGAGTTAGAGGGAGCTTCCTTCTGTGATTCCCTCCAAATGGCTGTAACAGACACGACTTGCCCAGGCCAAAAGTATAAACCTCAAACTCCATTCTGGTCTCCCACTGTACAGGGACCCAAGCACTGGGGCCATCTTCTGCTTTCCCAGGCACATTAACAGGAAGCTGAGTTGGAAGCAAAATATCCAAAATGCAAACCAGTACCTGTAGGGATGCTGATGTTGCCAGCAGTAGGCTTAACCTAATGTAACAAATGCTGGCCTTTCATTCTTTCTTAAATGCATCTTTGGGGCCTGGTGTGGTAACCTACTGGCTAAAGTCCTCACTTTGCACATACCAGGATCCCATCTGGGTGCCAGTTCTAATCCTTGCTATCCCATTTCCCTTCGAGCTCCCTGTTTGTAGCCTGGGGAAGCAATTGAAGACGGCCAAAGCCTTGGGACCCTGCACTCATGTGGGAGACCCAGAAGAGGGTCCTGGCTCCTGGCTTCGGATCAGCTCAGCTCTGGCTGTTATGGCCAGTTGGGAAGTGAATCAGTGGATGAAAGATATATTCCTGTCTCTCCTCCTCTTATATATTTGACTTTCCGGTAAAAATAAATAAATCTTAAAAAAAAAAAAAGTATCTGAGCCTAGCAAGGTGGCCTAGCAGCTAAGGTCCTCACCTTGAATGTGCCGGGATCCCATATGGGCGCCGGTTCTAATCCCAGCAGCCCCACTTCCCGTCCAGCTCCCTGCTTGTGGCCTGGGAAAGCAGTTGAGGACGGCCCAATGCTTTGGGATCCTGTAACCATGTGGGAGGCCTGGAGGAAGTTCCTGGCTCCTGGCTCTGGATCAGCACAGCACCGGCTGTTGCGCTCACTTGGGGAGTGAATCATTGGACGGAAGATCTTCCCCTTTGTCTCTCCTCCTCTCTGTATATCTGTCTTTGTAATAAAAATAAAATAAATCTTTAAAAAAAAATTAGGTGGTAATCAGATTAAAATGCAGTTAGAGAGTTTTAGAAGTCAGTTCATCTAGGTAAATAGGAAACTTTGTTAGACATATGTAAACATTAATTGGAAATATCATTATGGAAAACTCACTGTGTAACAAGATTGAGTTAATATATAACTAGGGTATACTGAATTTTTACAAAAGGCCCTTTGTCATTGACAATTGCTGTGACTAACTGGAAGACCGCATAAGCATCTGAGTAAGGAGTTCTCCAGGATATTTTTACAAACTCAGTGCCCTTATCAGCATTTGAATTGGTTTTTGACTAGTTTTTTGTTTTCAAGATTTCCTTATTTTGAGTTAGAGGGTGAGAGACACAGATCTTTCATCCATTGGTTTACTGCCCGGATGGCCAGAATAGCCAGTACTGGGCCTACCTGCAAGTAGCAGCTCCATCCAAATTTGTCACGTGGGGGACAGGAGCCCACATACTCGGGCCATCTGCTTTCCCAAGCCAGGGAGCTGGATCAGAAATGAACAGTTAAGACACCAAATAGTGACACTATGAGATGCTGGCATCACAGGTGGCAGCTTTTCCCTACTATGCCACAATGCCAGCCCCAACTATTTTCTTAGTTACTGATAGTGTTTTGTAAATAACTAAATAATAACAATTTTGCCACTCACACACAAAAGGTGTTTGTTTCCCTGTTTGGGACCAATTCTAGTAAATGCCCATCAACATATGAAATGTTTTATTTAATGAAGTTTCTCATTAAAGAATTATTAGGAAAGCATTTTTTTATATTCTACCTAATCTAGTTGTCTTGAAATGTGAAGGTGATGAAGCCAAGAGTCAGTGTGTATGCGAGTGGCATTTATGAGCAAAGATAATGCCCCAGGAGTAAGGCTGTGACCGTGGGCTACAGACCACACCTCTGGCTTTGCTAAACTGACAAGGGTGCACTCACATCACTGGGCTGTCTGCACTTAGGACAGTCCATCACTATTTTTGAAACGAAAAACAAAGAAAAAATTAATCCTAATTACAGGATTAGCTGTTCATATTTGCAAATAAGTAGAACTCACAATAAAATTACATATATAAATACATATTTATAAATACCTCTGCATCATAAATATGATGCATCTATGTAAATTCTGTTTTTCCAAAAATTAGTTTACCCAGCACATGTCAAGCACATGAACATCACAAATACTTTAGTGTATTAATTGTAGGTTGCTTTTTTTCTAAGACATTATAGACTTTCAATTCTAAGACATTATAGTCTTTCAATACTAACAAATCTATTGGTCCGTTTTCCAATTACTATAAACCGGGTTGTTTCTTTTTTATCTTTAGTTATTTTTTATTTGATCTAAAATAGAAGTTGAGAAAACCAAATAAATTTTTTTTAATGCAGTGTGGAGACGGAAGATGGTGACTACATGTTCTGCTTTGACAATACATTTAGCACTATTTCTGAGAAGGTGATTTTCTTTGAATTAATCCTTGATAACATGGGAGAACAGGCACAAGAACAAGAAGACTGGAAGAAATACATTACAGGCACAGACATGCTAGATATGAAACTGGAAGATATTCTGGTCAGTATATTTTTTAATACAAAAGTTACAATTAGCATCCAGTAATCTTACTATGTGATAAATAATTTATCTGCATTATGCAGGAAAATCTGTTACTTCTTATTCTGTCATATATTCTGTGACATTATTTCAGATCTCATTTTAATCTCATGTTACTATATGGTCAAATCACCTCACCAGGATCCTGTTATAAAAAGCTGTGAAATTAGAATGCATTTTGGTAAGCTGATCAGTGTAATACTTATACACACATCTAATGAGACAGAAATACTGTATGTTTTGCTAAATCCTAAATTGATCAGACATACAAAGCCAAAATGTAATAAAGCACACTGCAGATGACATAGTCTACAGCTTGAGGTTATCATCAGTTTGGCTTTTTAAAACCTGTTCATTTTCTTTTGGATGTGAAGGCCATGAAAGTACATTATGTAGACAATATGTCATTCAAATGATTTTAGTTTCTAGTTTCAAGTGATATTGTTATCTATACCTTAACTGAATTTTACACCCCCTCTATCTTTAAACTGTGTTTGAATTAAAAAACAAAACAAAACAAAATCAACAAAAAAACTACCATAAAGAACTTTTTCAAAATCCTAAAATTTTGAACTATCTTTTTACAGTAAAATATTTTATTTCCAGGAATCCATTAACAACATCAAGTCCAGACTAAGCAAAAGTGGCCATATCCAGACACTGCTCAGAGCATTTGAAGCTCGCGATCGAAACATACAGGAAAGCAACTTTGATCGAGTCAATTTCTGGTCTGTTGTTAATTTAGTGGTGATGGTGGTTGTGTCAGCCATTCAAGTTTATATGCTGAAGAGTCTGTTTGATGATAAGAGGAAAAGTAGAACTTAAAACTGCAAGCAAGAGTACAGAGCATTGGAAAAAAGAATGGTAAAATACAATAAACTGTTACAGTCAAAAGACCCATTATCGTGCAGAATGCTTTCAAGCATTATCATTCAGTGTGAAACAAGTATTCTTTTAATGTGAAAGGGAAATCTACTTTCTGCGTGAGTAATCATACCCGTCTAGTTGTACTTAAGTATACAAGGGGAATCTTGAGTCAAACATAACTAAATGAAGCCATAGGAATAACTGAAGATTTCTAATACTATGTGTGTCTTAAGTAACTGGACACCAGGCTTATACGCAATCCCAAACAATCTGCTTTTCAGAAGTTCTCTTGGGGCAGGCATTAGTGTGGCAGTGAATAGATACCTCCTTGGACGCCTTCCTCCCATTAGGCTGTCCTTGCATTCTAGTCCCAGCTCTGCTCCCTGCTGATAGTCTGATAGCTTGGAATGGTTCTGGTTGTTGGGTCGTTGCCACTTAAGTGGAGACCCAGATTGAGTACCTGACCCTTGGCCGTAGCCTGGGCTGTTGTAAGTGAACCAGCAGGTGGGCAGTAGGCCTCTGTCACTCTGTCTTCCAAATTAGTTATATATCTTTGCAATATATAAAATCTCAGCCAACTGAGAATTACCTAATTATGGATTAAATATATCAGTTTTCCTGTTTACATCTTTTCTATAGCTAAAAATATTTTGAGATTTTTTTCTAACCAAATGCTCATATATTTCAACGTAACATGTTATAGAAAATATATTTAGCCCACATTTCCTGAAATTAACATCTTGGTATTTCTTTTTTACAAATGTAGTCAGACTTCAATAAAGCCAAGACACATCTTTGCTTTGAAGTAAATAAATGATCAGGCTCGAAAATAAAATGAAATAAAACTATTTAACAACATCTAGAATCTGATAGAGATCACAGGCGGCTAATTTCTTATATCAACTGGAAGAAGCCATCTGGCTGTGGGTTTAGCTTTCTATAGTTACTGTTTTGAATGTTTTCCAAGTATTGTGGTATTTTTTATAAATGTAAGACCTACTGACAGGTTTAGCACTGGGTGTACATATGTATTACAATTTTTATTATAAATGTCAAAGTGGCCTTTATAATCATTTTACATAATAGTCCCAAGTTACAAGCACCCAATACATGAGTAGTAACCTATATATACTAGTCTGCCATGTAAGTTTTTTGCAGTCTATAGAGCCTTACTCATTTTTCATTGTGAATGAAATAATTTTCAATATATAACATTTCTCATGTTGTTTGTAACAAATGTACTGGCAGAAACAATCCATGTACACTTTATATGTAGAGCCCATCTGTACTGTGAGAGAGAAACTGCCATATCATTTACAGTCTACACTCAGAGTGGTACAGTAAGCAATGTTTCCCTCTGGCCCTAGGCAAAAGAGCTTAGATTTGGATACTCAGAGACCTTTTTTAGAAGGATGTAAACGCCATAATCAATTCCTTAAATAAGAAAGTTTCAAGTGTCTAATGGTGAAAACCCAGTAACATATCCAGAACAAGGGCCAGTAAAAACCCTGTCCATAAAGAGCCCTCCCCTTTCCCTGTCAGTTCAGTTCATAATAAGCATACTTATAGTACCCTAATAAAGTGGTTATAAACTGAGATTTCCTATAAAACTGTGATTAAGGATTCTACCTCTTATGTATGGCTGTTTACTACTCTGATTTCTTTCCTAATACTGAATTTGCTACCTAATCACTCACATGAGTCTGTGCCACTGATTAGAAGCAAGCCTCTGGTTCAATAACTTATTACTCTATTTAAAAAAAAATGACTATTTGGAAAACAAATTTCAAAATATTGCCAATTTTATTTTTATAGCTAGAAAGTAGGATACTTAAGCATGTTACTTTTTAAGAAAAATAAATTTGTAAACAGAACAAGTCTTTTTCTGCTTTATGTGGTTTTTTAATATGCCATATCAAGATTAAATTTTTACTAAGTGAAAGATCTCTGACACTTACATTTAGTTTTGTCTTTGGTTTTCTATCATATTAAGTTTAAAAAGACTGAAAATAATTTAAAGCCTAGACTTAGCTTTGGCTTGCAGCTTTGCCATTAATTATATACCATTTTGTCACGTGAATATTAAGACACAGAAGGTAAATGAGTATTTGGAAACACTTTAGTCTACAGCCATACCACCCTGAATGTGCCCTATGTGGTCTGATCTCAGAATCACTGAAATAAATTGCAAATTGAGGCATTTTAATTATATCCTTACACCCATTTTATATCTAAAATATTAAGGGAAATGAATTTCACATGTAAAATTTTCATTGTAATGTTTTTCACTTTAAGTGTAATCAGTATTGCTCAAATTGCTTTATATTTGTGAACAGGGCATTTTTAATGAGCAAAGGACTGCATACTAAGTATATGTAATAAAATTACTATCAAAGAAAACTTTATCAATCTTTATAAATACTATCTACTCCTCAAAACCTGCGGCCTCTAGCTCTCACTTTGCTTTCCTCTTCCACTTTGAAACCCTTGGTTCCCTGCACAGTCATTCTATTCTGCACTGTTGTTCTGTTTGCAGATGTGTATAAGTGGCCTCAAGAACGCATTGTCATCTAAAAGGTCTTCATGCAGTAAGATCATTATTTCTAGATATGGAACTGTAAGTTCCATAGTGAGTTTGTTCCCTACACTACTTCTACACTGAGAAACCTTGTATTAAAAGGCATTTCCACGGTGGAGCTCCTGAAACTGACTCCTGTGCTTTCCGTTCCTGACACAGTGGTCCTCAGGAGACAGCAGTCATGGCTCACGTAGCTGGCCCCTGCTACTCATGTTGGAGATCTGACCTCATTCCTGATTGCTAGCTCATCTCAGACCATACTTGGCTGTTGGTTATTTGGAGAGTGAGCCAGCTTATAGGAATTCATTTTTTTTTTTAAGATTTATTATTATTATTGCAAAATCAGATATACAGAAAGGAAGATCTTCTGTCCGATGATTCACTCCCCAAGTGGGCTCAATGGCCAGAGCTGAACCAATCCAAAGCCAGGAACCCAGAGCCTCTTCCAGGTCTCTCACACGGGTGCAGGATCCCCAGGTTTTGCGCCATCCTTGACTGTTTTCCCAGGCCACAAGCAGGGAGCTGGATGGGAAGTGGAGGTGTCGGGATTAGAACCGGTGCTCATATGGGATGCTGGTGCAAGGCAAGGCAAGGACTTTAGCCACTAGGTTATCACACTGGGCCCAAGAACTTGTATTTTTAATTACAGTTTTTAATCATTTTTGTCAGGTTGCTAGAAAAATGGGGCTACTCACATTTTTGGTAGGATGCAAGATTGTTGAGCCCCCTGGATAGCACTCTCAGCAGCATTTCCTGAAATTTATTTTTTTTAAAAAAGATTTATTCATTTTTATTACAAAGTCAGATATACAGAGAGGAGGAGAGACAAAGAGGAAGATCTTCCGTCCAATGATTCACTCCCCAAGTGAGTGCAATGGCCAGTGCTGCGCCAATCCAAAGCCAGGAACCAGGAACTTCTTCCTGGTATCCCACACAGGTGCAGGGTCCCAAGGCCTTGGGCCGTCCTCGACTGCTTTCCCAGGGCCACAAGCAGGGAGCTGGATGGGAAGTGGGGCTGCCGGGATTAGAACCGGCGCCCATATGGGATCCTGTTGCGTCTAAGGCGAGGACTTTTAGCCGCTAGGCCACGGTGCTGGGCCCCCTAAAAATTTCTTTTTTAAAGATTTATTTATTTTTATTGGAAAAGCAGATATACAGAGAGGAGGAGAGACAGAGAGGAAGACCTTCCTTCTGATGGTTCCTCCCCAAGCGGCCGCAACGGCTGGACCTGAGCCATTCTGGAGCCAGGAGCCGAGCCTTTTCCAGGTCTCCCACGTGGGTACATGGTCCCAAGGCTTTCAACTGCTTTTCCAAGCCACAAGCAGGGAGCTGGATGGGAAGCAGGGCTGCTGGGGTTAGAACCAGCGCCCATATGGGATCCCGGGCGTGCAAAGCAAAGACTTTAACCACTAAGTTATCATGCCGGGCCTGCATCTCCTGTAATTTAACAAGCATTTAACATATAACTCAAAATACACTCTTAAAATTTAGACATTCTATAGATCCATATGGTTGGTAGGCATTAGGGATGGAGAAAAGGAAAATTTGGCATTAAAGGTTACCTAGGAGCAAAATAGTCCTACATCTTGAGGATACAAATATATATGTGACAAACTGTATAAACTATGTAAATATACATCATAAAGGTGAGTACATGTGAAATCAGTCAAATCTAAGCTCTGAATTATGCTGATAGTTTTCTACATTTGATATCCCATTGAAAGTATTGGTGAATCTATTTCAAAATAAAAATCTGAAACAAAAATGTTGAAGCAGAAGTATCATAGTTGAACCTGACTTGATATATTGAAGCAAACCTACTTAAGTAAAATAATTTTACTCCAGAAAAAAACAATATTAGTAAAACAGGACCTGGCGGAATAGCCTAGCAACAAAAAGTCCTCACCTTGCATGCACTAGCATCCCTTATGCATACTGGTTCTAATCCTATTGGCCCCACTTGCCATCCAGCTGCACCCTGCTTGTGGACTGGGAAAGCAATCGAGGATGGCCCAAAGCCTTGGGACACTGTACCCGCGTGGCAGGCCTGGAGGAAGCTCCAGGCTTCTGGCTTTGGATTGCCTCAGCTCTAGCCATTGTAGCCACTTGGGGAGTGAATCAGCGGGCACAAGATATTCCTCTCTGTATATCTGACTTTGCAATAAAAATAAGTCTTTTAAAAATATGAAGCAGTGAAGTAGTTCTACTTTAGGCACTGATTGAGTTCTTATAATTTTAAGAGGTGGGATACTTTCTTCTTCAGGAATCTTATGACAAACATGAGAGAGAATTCAGATTCATCTCTTTGTTTATTGAAGCCATTCTATATTCCAGAATACTGCAACGGCTTTCTGGAGCTGAGGTAAGCTATCATGTTTCATGTCAGCATCTCAGGAGAGCTAGTAAGAGTTCTGGCTGTTCCACTTCCCATTCCAACTGCCTAGGAAATGTCCTGGGAAACAACAGAAGGACCTGGACGCCTGGGCCCTGCCACCCATGCTCATGCTCGTGGCCTCAGCATGGCCCAACTTGGGTAAACTGTCTCAAATACTGGCCAAAGGTTATGGTAAGATGAACGATATCATGATGTATAGAATTAGAATGATGCCAGGAAAGACTGTGTATGTTTCCCAGGTGTCACACTGTTCTGTAAGTTTCAACAGAGAAGCTATCCTTGATATTTCCTGGAAATTCTTAAATGGCAAAGGGACACACATTGAAACACGTCAACAGTTATTTTTGACCAAACTGCAGAGAAGCATCAACAGAGACCTATTTATTTGGACAGGGAAACAGGAAAAAATACTACCAAATGTTACATCCTAGGCCACCCATACTCACACTCCTGTGGTGTCCAATAAATGTTACATTCATCACAATATAGCAAAACCAAGGCTTAAACCGTGCAGCAAGAAAATTCTGAGCGTTACTCCATCCTAGTGTTCAGGAAAATACAAATGTCTACCCTAAATTTTGCTGATAAACCCGTCTCCGTTCTTTTCATTCCTCATTCTACGAAGTACTGCTAGTTCTTTAAATTCAGATACAGCAAAAGATGTGTTACCTCTACACTGTCCTCAGATGGGAATATCACACTGTGTAGAAACCACGTATTAGATTCTAGAGGCAGAAAACCATATTTTAACCTTACATACCATTCAGCGCGCAAACAGTATTTCCTGATATAAAGATCAGACACACTTTTTATTAAAAGTGAACTTCCACAAACACTTGAGTGATAAATTCTAACACCACAAGTAATGGCAAGTGCAGAAAATTACAACTACACACTATCTTCAGATTATACAGCGGGAACACATTCAGAATCTTCTGAGATGCCTCGTTTTTTTCCACAGGGCAGTATTTTTTACATTATAGTTAAAACACCTTAAGCTCCATTTGGGGGGAAAGAGGAAACAGCAGTATAGATAAAAGATCGCATCCCCTAAATTTCCTTTTTCTTCCCATTCCCTATTACTGCCCCTTCTAGTAGATCACATTTTCATTCCCCTGTGAACTGCTCTTTCTCCTTTTTGCTGCCAGCCAAGACAAGTGAGAAGCAGAAATAAGACAATTTAAAGTCTCTATCTTCTCAGTATCATGGTGCTGCAGAAGCTACTATCACTAACTACCTTCCAAGCAATTCAAACTTTGATGCCACTTTCAGTGTCAGCAAGAAATGCCATCTAGAGTGCCACGTTATCTGAAGTAATTTTCTTCCCAGGACAGTATACTCTTCACAATACCAAACAAATGCAAACCATTTGCACAATGTAGTTTCAATTATTCCAGGTTGGTGTGTTGCATGGACTTCCAAATAGGGTACCAATCGAAAAAGCACCAGAAGATACTTTCTGGAAACACTTCCAACAGCATTGACTTGTATTGCTAAGGAATACAATAGTCTTTCACTCCAAGGAGAGGCATTAATAAAATACTTGATCATCTAGTACCTAAATCATACATAGGGAGGTCCTTCAGAATCTGGACTACTCCCAGCCTCGGCCATGCCAACAGTACGTCCTTCCTGTGTGTCACATTCGTTTGCTCTTCCTAGAAGCTAGAGAACTCTCATGTGTTGCCTTTTCTGCAGCTCCCTATCTTCAGTGTTAAATTCCACTTTCTGGGGCTGGTGCAGTGGCCTAGCAGCTCTTAAAGTCCCCTCCTTGGATGCACCAGGATCCCATATGGGCGCCGGTTCTAACCCCAGCAGCCCCACTTCCCATCCAGCTCCCTGCTTGTGGCCTGGGAAAGCAGTGAAGGACGGCCCAAAGCCTTGGGACCCTGCACCTACGT